TCCTCTCTCTCTCTCTCTCTCTCTCTCTCAAGTAAAAGGAAAATCTCAGACAGTTAAGCAAATACTGAGTCAAAGGGATGAGTGGCCTGCTACTCCTCTGAATATAATCCCCCATGAGGACCTCATGATGCAGTATTATCCAGCTAAAGACTTGTACTTTCGGGGGGGGAACAGGAGCGTGCCACAGTCACGTACACATGATAGTTGCATTGGTAATCCACCCACAGAGTGTTGTGCACATGTCTAAGGGTGACAGACTTGTCCTCAGGGGCCACCTGTAATCCACAGCGGTGTTATAGTTCATCTACCTATTGATTAACTTTGATAGGCCAACCATAAAACCTGTGCGAGAAACCAAGTTTGAGAGCATAAACTATGATTGCAATGGCCAACATTAGTAGAAGGCATAGTTGATACACTATCCCACAGGTACCCGCTCCTTCATGGTTGCCTTTATGTTTGTTAAGAGCCTAATTGTACGGGGAATAAATGAGATTTTATTCTCACAATAATTGAGTTAAATTGATTTATTTTTATGTTGTTAAATAAAGGACAAATTATAAGGAATTAATTTTTTGTTCTGCAAAAGGACTATTTTGGAATACCCAATTAGCTTTCTGCAGAATAAATAAGTCTTAAATACATGGCAATATGGCACATATGGGCCATGTTCACGGCAGACATGCAGGCTGGAGAATCACGTGGGGCCTGATGGCCATGGACCCATGTGCCTGTCCTATTATGCCATTTTATTTTTGTTATGATGAAATAGGAGGGATGTCCCATACTTCCTTTCTTACTAATATAAATGTTAACTACTTCAAAAAAAAAAGGAGAGGGGTGTTCCATATATTTGAAAACTGTTCTATTTTAAAAACATCCCATGATTCAAGAGACTGAATGAGTGTCTTTAAAAGGGGATTGATTCGTTTTGAAGATTTTGGAAGAATTTATTTTCAAGATATTGGAAACAAAGAGAATGTATAGGATATTTTCCTATTGTGAAGGAATGTGGGATAAGGACCTAGGGATAATGTATGTAGCTATTTTCAGAATCATGATAAGTAATCTAAGGAATGCTGGCCTAGATTTAAAGCCACTCTCAATCATGATATCTCAATCATATGGATGCCAGAGTCATCTGGCTCCTTCTCGGTGGTCTCTTTCTACATAAACTTACTACCTTCTCCCCCCTCTTCCCCCTCGGTAACATTCAAGGTATGGTCATCAATAGCACCACCAAAAGTGCAAGCGTTTAACTGGATCGCTTGCGAAGGAAAAGCGCTAACGGTTGACCAACTCAAGCGAGTCGCTTTACCGAATCGATGTGCCTTTTGTTTTAAAGAAGAAGAGACCCACTCTCACCTGTTTATCCACCACGATGTTGCTCTTTACCAGTGGGGCAAACTCCTCAACCTTTTCGGCCTGACCTGGGTCATATTGGCCTCCATCCCCGGACTTTTTAACTTAGCAGACAGTCTTTCGTGGCCCAAAACTGGGGGGCTCCTTTGGAAGGCAGCGATAGAGGCCACGATTTGGACTCTATAGAAAGAAAGGAACTCAAGAATCTTTAGAGGGGTCCATTGCGATAATCCAGCCCTGTTCCATAAAATTCATACTCTTGTGACTTTCTGAGCCACCAATCATAAGGCCTTCAAGCTCCTTCCTTCTTCTATCTTCCTTGCCAACTGGCAACAATTACTTATTCTTCAGAACACTCGACCCCCATGCCATGGGGACTGGTCCCCCCCTCTACCGGGTGCAATTAAGTTCAACTTCGATGGCTCCTCGCTCGGAAATGCTGGCCCCTCTAGGGTAAGGGGTGTTCAGAGACTACCAAGGAAACACCTTGGCACAATTCTCAAGACACATAGGTCACGCCAATTCACCACTGGCAGAATCTCTCGCCTTGCTCACGAGCATCAAACTCTTTGATCCTGCGTGGGGTCAACCACTTCAGGTGGAAGGGGATGCACGCAATATAGTTTCTTGGGCAGCGGGTCATGTATCCCCCCCCCTTTGATGCCTCTCTACGATTTTTGACGAGATTTCTCACCTCTGCAAGGATATTCCCGTCTCATGGACGCATATCTGGCGGGAATCAAACACACTGGCAGACCGCCTAGCTAAGGAGGGAGCCAACCTGTAAGCCGCAGCTACTACCTACCCCCGGAAGACTTTCCTAATCGCTTTTCTTCACGTCACTTTTGTCATACTTTTTAATGTAATATCTAGCATGGCACTTTGATTCCAAAGCCCTTGTAAAATGACCCCAAACAGTCGATGTTAAGCCTGCGGTTAGTTTTTTCTAGAATACTCTTTGTACTACACCTATTCACAGAGGTGTTACTATTTCCCCTCTGAGAGGACAAACCCATGTGTCCTCTCTTATCACTATTTGTACTTCCTCCTCTTTAATACAATGTTAACTTCATCAAAAAAAAAAAAGATAGCTAATCTAAGGAATGCAGCCTAAGTGAAAGCCACTCTCACCCTACAGATCGAATCCTATTTAAGGCAAGGCATACTACTGAGGAAACCCTAACCCTAAAGACTATGTTAAAAAGGCCCTATTCTGTTCTCTCTCCCATGTAACCAAACATGAACCTTCTCTCCCTTCTTTGAAAAATGTGCCTACCTTCCCAAAATTTTTAGAGAACTTTGGGGCCTAAAAAGTAAGGAAAAGAAGAGGGATGGAATGTGAAAAAATTGAGGAAGGAGTCCTAGGGTTTGGGGTGTGTGCTGGAAACATTGTGAAAGAGAAAGACTCTAAA